TTGTCTTCAGTTTGAATATTGCCCAGCACTGCCCGTTTATTTAGTAACCGCTCAGACATAGTGGAGATGGATTGGATGAACCTGCAAGCGGGTTCACTTGGTTCTCCATTGAATAAAAACAAAGTCTTAATCTCTGACACATAAAATGTAGACTGACTGATGAAAGAGATGGAATGATCTTCTTTCCTGCCTGTGTGTGTCATTTTTAGATCATGCCTGTAATCGAGAGCTAGTGTGTGTTCTGAAATCAAACACCAGGCATTGAGAAAATTCTGCTTGAAACCACCGTAATCTGCGTGCATTCAAAATAATGACGTTATATTCTATGCAGTCTTTTGCTATATGTTGTAATACAAACTATTATAGTTATCCTTTATTAGTTCACTTTCTGAATAAATCAAGCATTAAATGTCTATCATCTTGAAAGCTCACAATCCATAAATCTTTCCTTGCATATTACCCAGTGTTGATTCATTTAGTTAAGAGTAATTTTTGGGCTGATACAGCTCCATTTAATGTCTATTTCTATATTAATTCTTCATGCAGAGCTTCCAGTTCCTGATGAACTTCGGACGCCTCTAAAGATCCAGCAGGAGGAGCATCGAACGCTGCATTTCTTCCCTCCTGAGTACGGCTGTAAGAGATGCAAAGACCTATCAATGACACAGTCAGGGTTTCTGTTCTCAGCTGTGTCGTTCTTAGTGTATCCATCCCGCTGAATTCACCCATACATTGAGAATGAAAACCATTAACAAGTTACAAATAGAGTTTATTGTGAAACAAGTCCTGTTATTTATGGAACAATTCTTAAATAAAACTTGTATCTAGAGCATTTTAACTACTGTGATTATGAATGACTATTGGCGCTATGGAATAGCTATAGAGTTGCAGATATAGGATGGTTATGATACACTTTCTCTGTTAAATGGAATCCATGGGCAATGACACGCTGAGTTCCGTTATCATATAACATGTACGTAGTTAATCTACAGACCCCCTCAGTATATCGATTCCTTCCTGCTTATTTGTGTTCCCTCGATATCAGGCTTTCTTTCTTCTTCCCGGTAGATGTGGATGATGGGACAGCCGTGGATATCTTCTCGTTTGGGATGTGCGCACTGGAGGTTAGTCATGCATTACAATCTCTGCTTATATCCAGATATGTGTCTTCATTAGGGTTCTTCTTAAAGTCTGAATGCTCTGGTCTAGATTAGCAAAAACAAACCAGGGCTACAAAGAGGCATTTAAATGGCAAAATCCAAACATAGTATTCAAGATTTATCAATGTCAAGATTCATTTTCCAGACTTTGACTTCTTCCGGTAAAAAGATACAGTTGGAATCTGGAACTAAATGATGGCCATAGATTACTGAATGATCAGAAATGAGTTTGCATCCAGATAGTGACAAATAATAAAACAAGCCAATATCATACACATATCTGTCATCAACATACTGTATTATTATTATTACAATTTATATAGCGCCAACATTCCGCAGTGCTTTACTGTGGCGAAACCGGCCTCGCCACGTATCCTTGCCTTTGGACTATGGACCAGACTTTATGTGAATGTGTTAACCCAGATAGCTATGCCATGGAGCCCATTCGTGTAGTTAAAGACTTCGGCTCCATGGCAATGGAACTGTGTGAATAGGATCTGAGCGCTATTCGGTAGTTTTGTGCGCTCAGATCCCAGCTATCTGGGGATATGTGACATGTCTGTGTTTTATGTATAAAATGTGACTTTGTGTATTTTATAATATTTTAATGCTTTGTGCTCACCATGTGCATAATGGAGTCTTGTGTCTGTCCTGGGAGATAATTGAATTACTTCTCAATTCAATCTCCAGGATAGAAGACTCTGAAACTGGTTTGGGCCGGAAAGCCATGCTTCATTTAGTCACAAAGGACTTTCCCTTAACTTTTGAACCCCTGGTCTGATTTGTGCCATTTTTTAATATGTTGTTCCCTGAATGGATTGATTATGAAAATGTATGCTTTATGTTTGTGACATGTATATTTTAGAAGTTATAAATATTGTGTAAAAACTGTATTCCTCTGCCGGTGATAATGAGATTACACATTGTGTTCAGTAATCATATCACAGGCAGATGGGAGGAGTTTGTGTGGGAGTGTCTGGGTGTATTGTACGGATTGATTGGTTGTTTTGTAACGCCCTGTGGGCTGTACTATGTTTGTGGATTGGGAATAAAAGAGACTGTGACAGTACAGAGAGTTCCTGTTTTAACCCTCAAAGTGAAGTGTCATCTCATTATTGGGGGAAGGATTTATTGTATGCTGTTCCAGTTTGACTGCTAGGAGAGTAAACCTATTCGTATGGTTCCTATTCAACTGTCTACAGCATTCATATGCTTGAGAGAAGGTTAACGCTTCTCTGGTTCGGTGATTGTGGCGTCTGCTGCAGTGCTTGGAGTCCTCAGGAAGCGCTAGGAGCATCTTTCAACGGAGGTACCCAGTCGAGGTGCCAGGCGATCCGTTACATTGGTGGCAAGCGGTGGGATGGCATCCTAGTGCGAGGTAAAGCAGCTCGGAGACACAGTTCGTGGATTTACAAATTGAGGGCAACGCTAGTACCCGTACAGCGACCCTATCTACAAAAGAACTAACTTCAGCAGAGCAAGCATGGCGTATGACTACACTCAGGAGGAGTTTGACAGAGAGGTTAATGAGGTGCTGTCTCCCTTTGGACCCAACCCCCCAGAGAGAGCCGTGCAGCTCGCCAGGAAACTAGTAGGAGAATACCTGCAATCTCTAGTAGATTTGGCCAAAAAGGAGTCCCAGGGAGCCAAAGGTGTCGTCCTTCCTCCCCAGCGGCAGTGTGTACCCCAGGGAGCCAAAGGTGTCGTCCTTCCTCCCCAGCGGCAGTGTGTAACCCAGGGAGCTGAAGGTGCCGTCCTTCCTCCCCAGCGGCAGTGTGTATCCCAGGGAGCTGAAGGTGCCGTCCTTCCTCCCCAGCGGCAGTGTGTATCCCAGGGAGCTGAAGGTGCAGTCCTTCCTCCCCAGCGGCAGTGTGTATCCCAGGGAGCTGAAGGTGCAGTCCTTCCTCCCCAGCAGCAGTGTGTACCCCAGGGAGCTGAAGGTGCCGTCCTTCCTCCCCAGCGGCAGTGTGTACCCCAGGGAGCTGAAGGTGCGTCCTTCCTCCCCAGCGGCAGTGTGTACCCCAGGGAGCTGAAGGTGCGTCCTTCCTCCCCAGCGGCAGTGTGTACCCCAGGGAGCTGAAGGTGCCGTCCTTCCTCCCCAGCGGCAGTGTGTACCCCAGGAAGCAGAGACCGTCTGTCTCGCACCCCAGCCGCAGGACAAAATATTGAAAGGGGAGACAGTTGGTCCCCCTCTCCACCAGCAAAGAGAGTGTCAGGGAGAGGAGCAGGTTACCCCCTCGCCCCAGCGGCAGTCTACAGTTCAGAGAGAGGAGCTTGTTACACCCTCTCTCCAGCGGCAGCCTAACCCACCAAGGGGAGATGTTCAGCCCCACAACTATGCAGATGGGACCGTAGTCTCTGCACTTGCAGCACCAGGGGTAGGGACGGTCGGTCCTGTCCCCCAGCCACAGAGCAGTGTATCCAGAGGGGAGACAGTCGGTCTCCCCCTCCCACAACCAGGCTCCAACCAGGCTACTTCAGTGGTAGCGCTGGCACCCGGGCAGAGTACCGCTGGTCTCTGCCCACTCAGCAACCCACCAAGGCAGTCTACCAGCCCCCCGCACAGCCGTGGTGAGGCACCTGGACATGGACAAGTTGCTATTTTATCCAGGTGTAGTAACCAGTTATTGTGGGTGGGCTGTATTGCTGTTTGTGCTTCGTGGGTGGGTTGCTGGACTAACCAGGGCACTGACCGGCAGGAGGTCAGATACCCTGTTAGTCTGGATGGTAAAGGGGAGAAATGTGGCGAAACCGGCCTCGCCACATGTCCTTGGAGGGGGCTGCTTGCCTGCCTCTTGCCTTTGGACTATGGACCAGACTTTATGTGAATGTGTTAACCCAGATAGCTATGCCATGGAGCCCATTCGTGTAGTTAAAGACTTCGGCTCCATGGCAATTGAACTGTGTGAATAGGATCTGAGCGCTATTCGGTAGTTTTGTGCGCTCAGATCCCAGCTATCTGGGGATATGTGACATGTCTGTGTTTTATGTATAAAATGTGACTTTGTGTATTTTATAATATTTTAATGCTTTGTGCTCACCATGTGCATAATGGAGTCTTGTGTCTGTCCTGGGAGATAATTGAATTACTTCTCAATTCAATCTCCAGGATAGAAGACTCTGAAACTGGTTTGGGCCGGAAAGCCATGCTTCATTTAGTCACAAAGGACTTTCCCTTAACTTTTGAACCCCTGGTCTGATTTGTGCCATTTTTTAATATGTTGTTCCCCTGAATGGATTGATTATGAAAATGTATGCTTTATGTTTGTGACATGTATATTTTAGAAGTTATAAATATTGTGTAAAAACTGTATTCCTCTGCCGGTGATAATGGGATTACCCATTGTGTTCAGTAATCATATCACAGGCAGATGGGAGGAGTTTGTGTGGGAGTGTCTGGGTGTATTGTACGGATTGATTGGTTGTTTTGTAACGCCCTGTGGGCTGTACTATGTTTGTGGATTGGGTATAAAAGAGACTGTATGTGACCGTACAGAGAGTTCCTGTTTTAACCCTCAAAGTAAAGTGTCGTCTCATTATTGGGGGAAGGATTTATTGTATGCTGTTCCAGTTTGACTGCTACGAGAGTAAACCTATTCGTATGGTTCCTATTCAACTGTCTACAGCATTCATATGCTTGAGAGAAGGTATATGGTTCTCTGGTTCGGTGATTGTGGCATCTGCTGCAGTGCTTGGAGTCCTCAGGAAGCGCTAGGAGCATCTTTCAACGGAGGTACCCAGTCGAGGTGCCAGGCGATCCGTTACATTTACAAATATAGAAAGGGGATATTTGAAAGGTAAAGGGCCTGCTTAAATTAAAAAAAATAAATAAAAAAAAGCTTATAATCGATGAGGATTTGTGGTAGGCTGACATTGTTTCTTACCATGTGACTAACGACTTGTTCACTGCTAAATCTAAAAGCTGTCTTTGATACTGTTGATCACTCTTTTCTTCAAACCCTCCACAACCTCGGACTCCTTGACGCTCTGCTTTCCTGGTTTTTGTACTATCTTTCTGAATGCTCGTTTTCTTTGGTGCCACCACCTCCTGCTGGCTGCTCTAAGATGGTGTTCCTCAAGGCTCTGTTCTTGGTTCTCTTTTATTATACACTGCCTCACTCTGTAACCTTATTAACTCATCTGGATTTCAGTACCTCTTTCTAAGCTTAATCTTTCTAAGACTGAACTCCTCATCTTTCCCCCTCTCAAATTGTCCTCTTCCATCAATCTCTGCAAGTCAGTGGAACCCCTATTACCCCAGCTCCTCAAGGTTGCTGCCTCGGCGTTACTCTTGACTCATCCTTTCTCCTCACATCCAGTCTGTCTCCAAATTCTGTAACTTACTCCTTAAAAATATTGCCCACATTGTCCTTCCAAATACCCGCCTTGCACCCTTTTGAGTCTGCAATTAATACTGCTGTGTTGTGGTGCGTTTGGGCAGTGGGTATTGGGATGTACTGGGCAGTAACTGTCAATGTATTGTATAGATGGCTGTGTTGTGGTGGGTTTGGGCAGTGGGTATCGGGATGTACTGGGCAGTAACTGTCAATGTATTGTATAGATGGCTGTGTTGTGGTGGGTTTGGGCAGTGGGTATCGGGATGTACTGGGCAGTAACTGGTATTGTATAGATGGCTGTGTTGTGGTGGGTTTGGGCAGTGGGTATCGGGATATACTGGGCAGTAACTGACAATGTATTGTATAGATGGCTGTGTTGTGGTGTGTTTGTGCAGTGGGTATCGGGATGTACTGGGCAGTAACGGTCAATGTATTGTATAGATGGCTGTGTTGTGGTGGGTATGGGCAGTGGGTATCGGGATGTACTGGGCAGTAACTGTCAATGTATTGTATAGATGGCTGTGTTGTGGTGGGTTTGGGCAGTGGGTTTCGGGATGTACTGGGCAGTAACTGTCAATGTATTGTATAGATGGCTGTGTTGTGGTGGGTTTGGGCAGTGGGTATTGAGATTTTCTGGGCCGTAACTGTCAATGTATTGTATAGATGGCTGTGTTGTGGTGGGTTTGGGCAGTGGGTTTCGGGATGTACTGGGCAGTAACTGTTAATGCATTGTATAGATGACTGTTGTGGTGGGTTTGGGCAGTGGGTATCGAGATTTACTGGGTAGTAACTGTCAATGTATTGTATAGATGACTGTTGTGGTGGGTATGGGTAGTGGGTATCTGGATGTACTGGGCAGTAACTGTTAATGTATTGTATAGATGACTGTTGTGGTGGGTTTGGGCAGTGGGTATTGAGATTTACTGGGTAGTAACTGTCAATGTATTGTATAGATGACTTTTGGTGGGTATGGGCAGTGGGTATCGGGATGTACTGGGCAGTAACTGTCAATGTATTGTATAGATGGCTGTGTTGTGGTGGGTTTGAGCAGTGGGTATCGGGATGTACTGGGCAGTAACTGTCAATGTATTGTATAGATGGCTGTGTTGTGGTGGGTTTGGGCAGTGGGTATCGGGATGTACTGGGCATTAACTGTCAATGTATTGTATAGATGGCTGTGTTGTGGTGGGTTTGGGCAGTGGGTTTCGGGATGTACTGGGCAGTAACTGTCAATATATTGTATAGATGGCTGTGTTGTTGTTGGGTTTGGGCAGTGGGTATCGGGGTGTACTGGGCAGTAACTGTAGCGGTTACCCCGTGTAGCAGAGGGGTTTCATCCGCTGGAGGGTGTCCTTTTCCCGATCAGTGAGGAGGATTCTCAGCATCCAGTTGTGTTCCAAGTGAAGAAGCTCTTACAAGAGCTAGTGTGAATAGCTGTATAGCGGTTACCCCCAATAAGAGACAGGACTCTAGATTGAGGGTGTAACGGATCGCCTGGCACCCCGACTGGGTACCTCCGTTGAAGGATGCTCCTAGCGCTTCCTGAGGACTCCAAGCACTGCAACAGACACCACAACCACCGAACCGGAGAAGCATATGAATCCTCTCAAGCATATGAATGCTGTAGACAGTTGAATAGGAACCATACGAATAGGTTTACTCTCCTAGCAGTCAAACTGGAACAGCATACAATAAATCCTTCCCCCAATAATGAGGCGACACTTCACTTTGAGGGTTAAGCAGGAACTCCCTGTACTGTCACATACAGTCTCTTTTATTCCCAATCCACAAACATAGTACAGCCCACAGGGCGTTACAAAACAACCAATCAATCCGTACAATACACCCAGACGCTCCCACACAAAATCCTCCCCTCTGCATGTGATATGATTACTGAACACAATGGGTAATCTCATTATCACCGGCAGAGGAATACAGTTTTTACACAACATTTATAACTTCTAAAATATACATGTCACAAACATAAAACATACATTTTCATAATCAATCCATTCAGGGGAACAACATATTAAAAAATGGCGCGAATCAGACCAGGGGTTCAAAAGTTAAGGGAAAGTCCTTTGTGACTAAATGAAGCATGGCTTTCTGGCCCAAACCAGTTTCAGAGTCTTCTATCCTGGAGAGTAATTCAATTATCTCCCAGGACAGACACAAGACTCCATTAAGCTCATGGTTGCAAAAAGACACAAAACACTTTAAAATACATAAAGTCACTTTTTACACATAACACACAGACATTTCACATATCCCCAGATAGCTGGGATCTGAGCGCACAAAACTACCGAATAGCGCTCAGATCCTATTCACACAGTTCAATTGCCATGGAGCCGAAGTCTTTAACTACACGAATGGGCTCTATGGCATACCGTGTTTCTCCGAAAATAAGACCGGGTCTTATATTAATTTTAGTCACAAAAAACACACTAGGGCTTATTTTCAGGGTAGGGCTTATTTATTTACGGTACCGGTATGTACATTGAACAACATTTAAACAACATTTAAACAACTTTTCTTCAAATACCGGTACAGTCATCTTCATTTTCCTTTGAACCATTGGTCCTAATCTCTCATTTACAGCAATATATGGTACAGTAGCTCTCCCTACTGTAAACAACATTTATTCAATTACAATCATGTCATCTTCTTCTGGAATATCATCATAACTCTCCAAACCCTGATTGCCAGCCTGAATTTCTTGCATCTCCATTTCCTTTTGAACCATTGGGCCTAATCTCTCATGTAAAGCAATATAGCTCTCCTTAAACGAGTACTTCTTGTCCATGTAGCCTGCTCGTAGTGCTTTGGCAACACAGCTGTCAGTGATTTTATCCCATGAATTCTTCACCCATGTCACGACCTCTAGCAGTTTAGCCTTCACAAAGTTTCCACGCTGATTTCTGACCAATCTATTTTCAGTGTATTCATTGATTTCCGTGCGCAAATGGTCCTTGAATGGTTTGTTTATTGCAATATCAAGAGTTTGGAGATAAGCAGTCATTCCTGCGGGAATCATTACTTGATGTATTCTTCTCTCTGCAAGGAAGTTCTTCATGTCTTTTGCGCGGTGAGTGCTGGCTGAATCCCAGACTAGCAGACCTCTTTGGCCACCTCTCAGAAAAAGTGGCAGCATTAAATCGATCCACTTTCTTAAAACTGCTTGTGTGCACCAGGCTTTTTCTGTTTCAAGAACATAAATGCCTGAAATGCGTTCAATCTTATCTTTCTTGCCCTTTGCAATAATTAGAGGTGTGGCTTTTGTTCCATCCAGACGAATTGCCAAAACACAAGTAACACGTGCACTTTCATAACCAGTGGAGGGAACGTAGATTGAGGAGGCTCCCCTCTGATCAATTGTCGTTTGAGATCCTTGGCCCATATACACTGCAGTTTCATCCATCGCAATCATGTTGGAGAGTTGGTATTTAGAAAAGTCTATGCCATCAATAAAGAACTTGAATGCAAGTGCACGTTTAACAACTTCATTATCTTCCAGCTTGAACAGTGTTGTCGATCTTCTTAGAGACAGTTCATATCGCTTAAGGAAGCCATCCAGCCAGTGGTGTGATGCTTTGAAATCTTCTGTGGATATGTCGAATTGTGGTGCTATTTCAAGGGCAAATGTTTGAATATCAGCCCTGCGCACAACCAAAGCTTTTGCTCTCTTGTAAGCAATCCATTCGCAGATGACATCTTCCAGCTCAAGATATAATGGCTGGCGACCTGATCCACACTTGCGCTTCTTAGCATTTCCCTCGTCCACCTTTTGACTGAGGTTACCATACTCTGCTCGCCATTTTCGGACCATTCGGAGATCTAACTTCATCTCTTTGCAGAAAGTGGTCAGATTCTTGCCGTGGGAGTCCTCCACGATTCCTTTCTTGTACTCGACAAAATAGCTCTTTCTCTTTGCACTCATCTTGTCTGGGGATCAAAATACCGTACTGTCTAATTAATCCACCCCCCTCTAATTAATCCACCCCCCCCTTTAATTAATCCACCCCCCTCTAATTAATCCAGCCCACCCTTTAATTAATTCACCCCCTCTAATTAATCCAGTCCACCCTTTAATTAATTCACCCCCTCTAATTAATCCAGTCCACCCTTTAATTAATTCACCCCCCTTTAATTAATTCACCCCTCTAATTAATCAGTCCGCCTTTAGTTGCCTCTAATTAATCAGCCACCTTTGTGTTAAATGCTTTAATTAATTCACCCCCCTCTAATTAATCCAGCCCACCCTTTAATTAATTCACCACCCCTTTAATTAATTCACCCCCCTCTAATTAATCCAGCCCACCCTTTAATTAATTCACCACCCCTTTAATTAATTCACCCCCCTCTAATCCAGCCCACCCTTTAATTAATTCACCCCCTCTAATTAATCCAGTCCACCCTTTAATTAATTCACCCCCCTTTAATTAATTCACCCCCTCTAATTAATCCAGTCCACCCTTTAATTCACCCC